TGATCTATCTCAGATATTTAAAGTATGGGAAACCATAGGCTATAACCCTTGTATAATTATGAGAGCAAAGGTAGAACATGTAACAAGAATAGTGTTTCAGAAAGCGTTAGGCGGCACCTAGGCGGTCGGGGGGGTCCAGACTGCCTAGCGCCTAGAGGGACGCCTATAACCTGGGAGACCCAGTAGAAAATTTTTTTTTTTGGGGTTTTCTCTTTCTAAAATAGCCTCTAATGGGTTTTAGGTTTCAAATGAACCTAAAACCCACAATTTTGCCGCTTTAGTATTAAAAAAAGGACCCAAAAATACCCTCCAGGAGCCGCATTTCTGTCCTTGGGTGAGGCGCAAGCCCTAGGCAGCCGCCTAGGCGGATTCAAACGGGCGCCCACGGATATCCTCCTAGGCGGCCACCCATTAGGCAGTCCGCTTTTTGAAACAATGAACAAGAACTAAGCCTCAATGCCTTAGTGTGTGGGAAGTGCCCCTCTCTTGGAACTAGGTGGGATGTGCCCCCTATTTTCTTATTAATATTTTCTAAGGGAGAGAGATCTTAGAGAGAAGAGAGGGTGACATGCCGCCTAGAGAGAGAAGAGAGAGAAAGATGAGATGTATAGAGAATCGGACCCCTCATGAGGCCTATTTATAGATTTTCTCCAGGGTTAGGGTTTCTTAGGGTTAGCCACCCTTATAAAGAATAGATCCAAACCATTGATCACAGAAGACCTATGGGTGAGAGATCTTAGTCATACAATCCTTAGATATGCCATCATGATTAAAAAGAATGTGCTAGAACCTTATCCTTCAGCTTCCTTAACCTAATCCCATCAAATAAAAGATAATATGAAAAATATAATGTACTTTCCTTTCTTTTCCACAATCTTCTTACACATGCTTTCAGTTTGAAAATCAAATCTCTTAATTTCTCAAAATTTCCCTTTTTGTCTTAAGTTGATTGAGAGCCTTGATGGCCTCATCCAAAATTAGAAAGAAAGCCCCCCATAGTAGGGCGTGTCACCCATGGGGCCTCATGTGGGCCCCACGCACTTTCCATGTGTAAATATGGTGGGCCCCCATATATAGTATGAATGATAAAAATAATAAAATGATTTTTAAAAAAGATTATCTATTTTTTTCTCCTTGAATATTTAAAATACTGAAAATTAAGTTCTCTCTATTTATAAATCCATTTTAAAAAAATAAAATATCCAAAAACTTCTAAAAATTCAAACTACTAATCTAAAAATCATCTAACATCAAAATGAATCATCTAACATCAAAATACTTAATCCAACTAGGTCAAGGAAATATTGATTTGCTTAAGCACTCCATCTTTTACTGTGGACTATAATCTACAATCACTTTCTCAAACTGACCCAGCAATTCCCAGGACTCACAGACCATTGCAAGGTTCATGATTGGGCTACTAAAGTCAGTCAATAGGTGAGGGGACACAATCCCAGTCTATGGGATTACATGTTCCACGCAAGAACAAGTCCAAGGTCACAGACCTAATGCAACCAAAACTCTATGGTGTATATGGGGGTCATCTCTCCCACATGTACACATATCACCCTCAATGGTGATTTTCTTTCCCCGACACGACTATTATATATACATGTCGTGTGATGGTCAAAATATGAGGCGATGGCCTTTGTCTCTACAAGCCTACCATCACACAGAAGGGTCATACAATCCATTGGCTCTCTATCCTAGGCAAGTTCAACATCATCAAGGGATAACCTTATTAACCCTCATCGGTTGTGCTCTATGCCCAAGTATTAAGGGTTTTGTAACTCGACTGGCCTAGCTCGTTAAGCCTAATCAAAGTCTCGGCAAACTTCATTTGCCAATCTCGGTCTTAAAGGACCAAACTCCCACAAATTTTTTGTTCCACTGTATAAAAATATTGATTACAAGCTCTCACAAGGCCAGTGTTCAAAAAAGCGGACCGCTTAGAGCCTAAGCAGTCCAGAAGGCCTGGGCGCATCCCCCAGCCCTGGGCGGCCGCCCAGGCCTGCACCCCACCTAGGGGCAGAAATTTATTTTATTTTCTTTATAATGACTTTTTAAAAAATATAAAGGGTTTGAAGAATGGGTTTTAGGTTCATTTCAAACCTAAACCCACAATAACTCATTCTAAAGAGAAAGAAACCTCAAGAAAACTAAATTTTGTGACTTTCATTGGATCGAAGTGTTTCTCAAAGTTACGAAAAATGGATCCATACATCACCCAGGAAGATTTGATTTAGTTTTGGAGTTTTATAATCCTATTAGAGGGTGTTATTTATTATTTTAGCACCAGAAAATATCTCAGAGGTGGGAGTTTGGAGTTTGAGCAATCAAAGAAAGTGCAAAAATTTATTTTTTAGATTGCTTGTTTTATTTTGAGTTGTCTTCTTCAAGATCTAGTCGAAGTGGAAATCTGGGTTGGAAATATGGATATAACCGGAATCCAAAGGACAAAAATTGAATTAGATGCAACTTTTATGAAAAAGATATGAAAGGGGACATAAACCGGTTTAAGAAACATCTTGGAGGTATTAAGGGGGATGTTGCCCCTGTAAAAATTTTCCTAAAGCTATCAGAGAGGAGATTAAGCAATATATGAGTTTTGTAAAACAAAAACAGGAACAAAATCCTTGTCAATTGAATAGGTCTATTTTTGCTACATCTAGAAGAAGTGATCCGAGTTGGAAGTATGGTTATAACCCAAAACCAAACGATAAAAATTCTATTAAGTGTAATTTTTGTGAAAAAGATGCCAATGGGGGTATTAACCGTTTCAAGAGATTAAAAGGAATGTTGCCTCTCGTAAAAAATTTTCTAAAGCTATTTGGGATGAGATTAAACTTCTGAAATTAAAAGAACCAGTAAATGATGAAAATGAGCCTTGTTCTGTGGAAATATCTTCTCCAGATTCTTCTAGAAGTGGTGATCCGAAATGGAAGTATGGTATAACTTGAATCCGAACCACAAAAATCATATTAAATGTAATTATTGTGGAAAGGTTACTAATGGGGGTATTTAACAGTCTAAAAAACACCTTGTTGGTATTAAGGGATATGTTGCCCCGTGTAAAAATGTTCTTGAGATTACCAAGGAGGAAATTATACAATATTTGAGTTCTGGGAAGCACAAAAAAAATAGAAAAGTGTAGAGAAGCCAAGACTCCTAGGGCTTTATCTGCACATACTAGTTAAAGGCAGATAGAAGAAGAGGAGAAAGAGGCAGATTCAGAAGAAACAGAGGAGGACGAGCGTTCTATTGAAGAGGGAGATGACTCTGATGATGATGGCCTCGATTCTGATGCATATGATTAAGCCTACCCTATTCCTTCTGATGATGATGATGATGACTGAAGAGTGAAGACTCTTGGTGTTGCCTGTTGACTGTTGTGTTGATTGTTGAGTGTTGACTATTGTGTCCTAGATTGTATATTTTCTGAATTTCTGTACATTGTATTTTTCTTATTTTTAGTTTCTAACTGTACTTTCTAGTTTCTAGTTCTACTATCTAACTTTTGTGTGTACAGTCTACAGTGTATCAAACTATCAATGTAAGTTTGTATGGTTTTACTGTTTTAGCATTGTATGAAAATATGGATTATGGCCTTATAGATTATCAAAATTCTCTTCTCAACTTCTATCTTTTTATTAACTCGGATTATGGCCATACCCTTAGTCACACCATGAGGCCCTCTATCAAGGGCTGGAACCTGGGCCGCCCAGGTTCTGAGCACTCACCTAGGCGCTGGGCCTCCTGGGTGCTGCCTAGCGCATTTTGAAACACTACATAAGGCTTTAATGGCCACAAATATCCAACACATCTTTCAACGAAGGTTACAAAGCACCCTTCCTTAGTGAGAAAGCCACCATAAAAGGTTGCTTTTTTATAGAAGAACCGCATATTTAATAAATCCAACACTCACAATTCATTCTAAGACAAATCTTTGTAGTTTCCAAGGGTTGTGAATTATAGACTAGCCCATGTATATCATCACAACAATCTTTTACTTTGTTGAGAAATATTGATATGTATTAAATTGCAACTATCATCACAACAATCTTTAACATTATATCTATCCACCACCATGCAAAGGGAGGGGCTCTTTGATTTTAGCATTTTGGATTAACAGTTAAAGAGTGTATCATCACAGAGACAAACATCCAAGATTCATGTTCCAAGATCCCCAATGCCCTAACACCACCCCGACAGAAAGAAAAAGAGGTTAGAAAAGATGGTAGGTAAAATTGACTGATCAGAAGGCAGCATTAAAGAGCACTGATGCAAAAGTGAACATCTAAGTAAAATTGAGTGATCAGAAGGCAGCATTAAAAAACACTGATACAAAAGTGAACATCTAATATTCATGCTCCAGGATCCCCAACACTCTAACACCACCCTGATAGAAAGAAAATGAGGGAAGAAAAAGATGGCAGGTAAAATTGAGTGATCAGAAGGCAGCACTAAAATGCATGGATGTAAAAGTGAAGATGCTAGGAAATAAATCATAACATAACTTGAACGTGTTTTGACATAAAACCAACTGAGACCTCTACATTTAACATAATGTAGGAACTAGCCTTATCAAACAAGCTGGTCCAATCCAGTAATGGATAAGACCTAACATAAGTCTGATGGAGCATTGAACTGACAAAAAGGAAAGACTAGGCCCAGCACACCAAAAACAGGTGATCAGCCCATTAGCTCTGTCAGCTCATGGCGTCAGTTCTGTTCTTTATGATTTTCACTTTTCAAATTCATCACTGATATTCACTAAGGGTAATGCCAGTTAAATTGGAACTAGCAATTGGCAGTCAGATTGGAACTAGCAAACCAATTGCCTGGGTAATGCGCAATTCTAAAACTAAAGAAATTTTGTATTTATATTATTGGAAATAATAGAATCGCCATTCACATATGTTGCCTACACAAACATTTATTTTTTAAAGAATGGGTCAAATGTTAAAACTTAAGACAACAGTAGCAAGTTCTGCAACCACCTGTTTATGCAGGAGAGAGACGAGCTTTGTCTTGTACAACTTGACATATTCTCGCCGCCGGGTTCTGCATTTCATAAGGCAGTAGGTTATGAAATTATATGTGAAGAAGCAGAAGCAGGAAGAAGCTAACTTAAGTAGGATGAATCTTACTAAAACAAAGAAAGAATAAGAAGTGTGCGCGAAAACAATAAATAAAGGAAGACTGGCAATCATTTCTTGTACTGGATAGTAATCATACAACTTGCCATAGTCCAATGCCCAATTGGATTTAGTTGACAGCATGCACTCAAATAGATTATAAGGTCAAGGTCAAAAGCTTAATCGTTTTCCAATGTCAATGTTGCATCACAACCAGGCATGCAGGCAAAAACAATTTTAGAATTCGTAAGTACCTGGTCTTTTCATGAATTCTATTATTATGGACACCACTCTATGTAGAATTAGATAGCATGGAAATGAATCAAAAAGCTGGAGTACCCAGTCACATTACCCGCTGAATAACTTCAGCTTTATTCATAATTTATCCAGTAAATAAGAATACATTTTGCATCAGAAACTCACCCATGTCAACTGGCCAGGTGAGCAGGGTTTATATTCATCTATGTTAATTTGACGCATACATGGTTTCTTCCAATGAGGTAGCACTGTGGAATAATTTAGGTGAAGAGATGGGGTTCATTTCCTATTATAAATGCTTTGTTTTTCATTATCCAAGTTCATCTACTTTGGCAAGAGAATCAGCACATCAGAATGTACTACAACATGGTGACTAGGGTGTGGGGATGCTACCACCACAACCCAGCCCCTACCCACTTCTAAGTCATATTTCCGTATGTTTTAGATTTTATGAAACTCCAAATATTGTTTTCAAATTAAAGAGCGTTTATTTAAATTTTTGGAAATTTTTAGAAATTTTTAGAAATTTAAAACGAATTTTAAATGTATAAAAACCCTAAAGTGATATTTCAGAAATTTTAAAAATAAGGGCGCCATTGGTTATGTGATCGGGTATGGGGTGTGCTAAGAAGCTCTAGAGAGGTAACGCTATGCAAAAGCCAATAAGTCATCCCTCAATTACGTAGTTATTATATGTTGTTGTTTTTGTCTTATTTTTTATTCCTAAAGTCTGAGTATTGTTTTCAGTTGCCGCTGAATTTATTATATTTATTTGTGGTACCAGTATGTAGAATTTCTAGAAATTAATAAAAGAAAAGAAAGAAAATTTTTGAATTTATAATCTAGAATTCTATATACCTTTCATGATCTACCATAAACCTCTTACACAACAAGGATATCAAACCCTAGATTCTGATGCATAAGAACCAAGGCTTCAATATAATAGAAGGGAAAGACAAATTGTGCATTGAATTAAAAAAGCAATAATCAGAGACTTATGTCATTCGGCAATTGACTAGATCCACAAGTTAGCAAACATATCTTCTACTAAATAAAAAAAACACTATGCAAGAACAGAGATTACAAGGATTTACACGCTCTCACACGAACCTTTTAATAGGTTTTCTCTCTTAAAGAAAACCCACCCTTTTTCTCTCTATTTTGCACACATGCAATCTTAATTTTTGATGATGAGTAAAGAACATCAAGTAGCCATGACTATCCTCTTCAGGAGCAACAAATTCCTCCAAATTCTCGCTCATAATTTTTGAGGTTGAAAACCCTAAGAGGGATTCTAAGAAGAAAAAGACGAGGAAGAAATAGTTTGAATAAATTTTTTAGTTGCTTTGGGGCTATTTCAAATATTTTTCTATTTACTTTATTGCTGGACAAAAGTGCCTCGGCATGGTAGGAATAACTTAGACCGAGAAGAGAGAAATGAGAGAGCTCAAAATTAATACATTGGAAAAGATGAAAAGAGAGAAATGGGAGAGCTCAAAATTACTACATGGGAAAAGATGAAAAATAAATTAAAAGAAAAATGCAAACCTGAAAATTATTTACAATCCCTCTATCATAAGAAGAATGCTCTTCGTCAGAGGGGAAAGGGTGCAGAGGAGTATACCAATGAATTTTACGAGTTGATAGCTCGTAGTGATGTGGAGTTTACCGCATAACTTGATTTCATAGTGAATTTATTTGTCCTCGGATCATGAAGCATTAAGGCATATTAACGGGCAACATAAATTAAATCAGCGACATGCTTGATGGATAGCCTGTTTGCAGGAGGTCACATTTGTTATTAGGCATAAGGCAGAAAATCAAAATATAGAGATGCTTTGAGCAGAATGTTCGCTTTAATGACGACTGCTATTGCTGGGTTCAAGCTTATGAAAGATCGTTAAGCAGATGAAGAAAACTTCAAGTAGACATGGGACTAGTGTTGTAGTAGTAGAGTCAATGGGGACTTTCTTATTCATGACGGATTTCTCTTTGAAGGAAATCGACTTCGTATTCTTGCAGGATCCCTTGGAGAAACCCTAGTAGCAGTGCTTCATGGGGGAGGACTTGGTGGACATTTTGGTCTAGACAAATCCATAATATTGGTGGAGTCTAAGTACTACTAGCCAATTTTGAAGAGAGTTGTACGGTTTGTTGAGAGATGTCGTACGTGTCAACTGGCTAAGGGACAACGACAGAACACCAAGCTTCATTCTCCACGTCCTATTCCTAATGCATGTTGGGAGAATGCTATCATGGATTTTGTGTTGGGGCTTCCAAGGACTCAAATAGGTATGGATTCTATATTTGTGGTGGTGGATAGATTATCAAAGATGGCTCATTTTATACCTTGTAAGAAGAACCTGGATGCCACACATGTTGCTAGTTTATACTTCAAAGAAGTGGTGAAGTTGCAAGGTGTTCCAAAGACAATAACTTTAGATCAGGTATAAGGGACACAAAGTTTCTCGATCATTTTTGGGGAACTATATCGAAAAACTGGGCACTCAATTACAGTTTAGTAGTGAGTGCTTATCATTCGCAAACAGATGGCCAAACTATACTCTTGGCAATATTTAAAAAATATCGTGAGAAAAAAGGAGAAATAGTGCAACCCAGCACTGCCTCAAGCTGAGTTTGCCTATAATAGTGCTCACAACAAGTCCACTGGTAAGAGCCGTTCATGGTGATATATGGGGAAAAGCATACTCATTCACATGACTTGGTTCCTATCCAGGCTAATAGGAAGGTCATGATACTGTTGAGAACTTGATTGCACAAATGAAAGGAGTGCATGAGCAAGTGTGTACTAATCTAGAAGCCAATACAGCCAAATACAAGGAAGCAATAGACAAGCATCGTCGTTTCAAGGAGTTTAATGTGGGAGACTAGGTAATGGCAGATCTCAAGGAGCGAAATCCAGTGGGAAAGTACAAGCTGAATGATCACAAGGTAGAACCGTTTAAGATTTTGAATAAGATGGGCAGCAACAATTACAAAGTGGCTTTGTCTTCGCACATAGACTTAGGCCATCTTCAACATTTCAAATATGTCTGAGTATCATGGTCCGATGGTGTATGAAGATGAAGACGCAAACTCGAGGGTGAGTTCTCCTCATCCAAGGGAGAATGATGATGAGCAAAGCACATCGAGTAGCCATGAGTATCTTCTTTGGGAACGACAGAATCCTCTTAATTCTTACTCATATTTGGATGATGAAAATCCTAGGAGGGCTTCCAAGAAGAAGAGGAGCAAGAAATAGTTTGAATAGTTTTTTTAGTTGTTTTAGGGCTATTTCATTTTTATTTTTGTTTTTGTTTTTCATTGTTGGACCAGTTATGGACTTTTCAAACATTTTTATTAAAGTTAGGAAGTTTAATTTCAAGTTATACTTAGGTTAGAATCCTTTGGTCAAAGTTCAACTGTATGGACAAATATTGTCCAAACCACTACATATTTAATATAAAAGAGGGGTGTGGATGGGCTGTAGAAGGGTCACGTACTGCTCTTTCAAAAAAGACAAAAAAAATACTTTCTTGATAAAAGAGCATCTTTCTAAGACTCGAGCCCTAGGTGAGAGGAAACCATCGAAATTCTCCAAAATTGCATATCTGGTTCTTTTCATGCTGATTTTTACTGTTTCTTCAAGTACTCTGCATCAATCTCTCCCTAAAAAAACCGCCTTTATATTGAGAAACCTAAGAAGACACCCACTTAAGGCCTCTCTAATCCCTTCTTTTTAGAAATTACATTGCTTTACCCAAAATCGTAGGACTTCACACAGCACAAAATAGGAAAGTACAGTCAATATGACAACCCTAATAATAGTAAACCTAAAGAACCCATTCCAAGTACACCCCTCACCTAAATCATGGATTCACTTTTAACACCCAGCCATTCATTTTGCTGCTAATGGTGGGGCTTTTGAGCCAGTCGAATATTGATTTTGCCTTTATTGCTTCGGTCAGGTGATCCGCAAGAGCATATAGCTCTAATAGGTTTGGTTCAGTTGATGCGCCATCTGATGTTGGAGATACCCTCGGGGATGGGTCATTCCTCAAGACCATGGGGAGTGATATAGCTTAGGGAGCATCAGCACCATTACATCGATGCTCAATGCATAGGCTGCCTTAATCGTCGTTGGAAGGGGTGATGGAGAAAACATGCTTAGAGACATACGATCAAGGTGGGTCAACAGCCGCATGAAGAACTTGCAACATGTCAGCCTAGGGGAATCAACAGGGTACAATCAAGAGGCCACGACTCTAGGGTAGGGCGGGACAGATGTAGGATGGGTGGGATGCAAGAAGGGAGGGTGGAAAATGATGGCCCATGGACTCACTAAAGGTTGAGTTTCACAGTGTACGTTAAGTATCCTAGGGAATCAAATAGGGATCGGCACAGAAGGCCAGTTGTGGCACATATTGTTGGACAGTGGGGAGGGGATAGTTTCAACGGTAGCAAAAGGGTGGTCAACTTGAATTTTCAAGATTAAAGTTGGGAGTACGTTACTTTCATCATCTTTAAAAAGAAGTAAAAGGATATTTGTACAAACAAAGTTTTAGGGCACTTACCGTCAAAATGTAAATGTCCTATTAGGGAAAAAATTTAATGTAAACTTACTTAATCATTAAGCTACCAATAAAAATTGTTGTTAACTAAAAAGCC